GTTTATATCTTTATGCGACGAACGACGCGGATATTTTTGGAGAACGTCGAAGCATTAGGGGATCTTGAGTCGTACGTGTCGCTTTGTCTGCGTAATGCGCAGTCGACGAAGAGAAAGGCGTCGTAATTACTTGTAAACATAACTCATACTGTAATTACCGTTTTGGAATGATATACTTATTGCGTATTATTTTTGTCTGATCAAACATTGCTCTCAACTGAGTCTGATCAAACATTGCTCTCAACTGCGTCTGATTAAACATTGCTCTCAACTGAATCTGATCAAACACTGCTCTCAACTGAGTCTGACCAAACATTGCTCTCAAATTTACTGATTTTTCAACACGATAGTTTATTTCTTTTTATATTTCGAGAGATGTGAATACCATTTTTTAGCCGTTTCGATAAGCCGTTCGTAACGATTGCATAACGCGAATCGTAAAGGAATCGTTGCCACAGGCGCAGCGGAAAGAAATCCTCTTAAGAAGGAACAGCAAACTGTTCCGTGGTTTTTTTTGTCAAGGAGCCGAACGTAAAGCTGCTTATAACTTTACAACGTAAATATCCGATGTGTACTGGAGGCGATTGCCGATATCCCATACGCTTCGCCCACTTTTCTTTTTCGGTAAGCACAATATCGTTCGAGCTACCGCGCAGTTTCGTGAATTTAACTGCGACAGTGAGCAAGAATGAACCTTCAGATCATAAATATTGGCGTCGATTAAACTTTGCAAACCCCGAATTAGAAACCAAAAATAGACTGAGGATATTTATAAAATATTTCCTATTTTCAGACAATTGAAATTTCTTCACATGTTTCTTATACACATTGCGTAAAAATTACACGTTAAGTAACAAATGTTGTATTCGTTTAATTTTTGCGAATTCGAATGACACCCAAGGCTTCAGTTACCTGATGTCACCCCATGGCTGGTTCCAAGAGTCCTTCGAAAGGCCTTAAAACTGCACAGTATAGCTGCAAACTGCGAAATAATCAGAAATCCAATTTCGTTGTGCGTGTGCCGAGCATAAAGGAAAAAGCGTTCCTCCGTTCCGAAAGCGTTTGTCGTCCAGGAAGGACCTCCCTGTATTTTCATACCTGATAATCAGCGTCGTAAAATTATAAACGTGCAAATAGCCCCAATAAGTCGATTGTAGGATACAGCGATGACCACGAGATTGTGAGAAGGAAAAGGTCGAGCATTTTAGGGTCCGCCCTTTTGTGCGAAACTGGAGCAATCCTGATTTTAATTGCCGGTACTCGCTCCTCTTGCAAGCTCTCCTTTACCTCTGAATTTTTCTTACCCCTGGATCTGTTGTGCACAACCTTTTACAGGATCCAGAAGGAGAGTAAAACGTTCCACGGTTCGACATCTTAACAACCCCGGTGACACTTAGCTGAGCATATATATGGTTCAACAACCCTACGGTCCGTTTTACAACCAACGAAATATTCTACAGCCGTTCGACTGTTTTCGATGTTTTTAAGGTCAGCCTTAGGGTTTTCTATCTTTTGTACGGGGTTGGACGACCAGGTTGCTTTAGGTACCGATTTCTGTGTAGCACTAGTTTCTTGTTACTACTACCTTCTTACTATTGCGTTCTTACTGCTTATGATTATAAGAAATTACAGTAGTAATTATTACTAATCAGTGAATTATAATCACTGAGTAATTCAGTTACATTGTAACTCAGACGTTCTATTAAATCACAATGGAATTCGTAGCTCAGATTGCAGAGTAGAATTTGGAACCAAAATTAAGAACCACAGAGGAAGATATTCCCTCAAGGGGTAGGAAAGGTTTTCAGACTACATCTTCAATATGTAGCTACTATTCATAAATTCATAACATCCAAATAAAGTGATTGAACCAAAAATTCAATTTCATTTCCCCCAATTTTTTTATACGAAAAAAAAGTAGCATCTCCGAAAGAAAAAGTTCAGTGTGTCAAAGGATCAGGTTCACATCGCAAGCAGGTATCCGAAAGGGTTACAAGCCTCATCTGCCCACACAATAGGCCAGCACCAGGTAGAAGCTTTCACATCGGGCACCCAAGGGTTAAGTATCGTAATAATTGCCAATAATCTGGCCATTGTAAACAGTTTTTCCTGGCCAACGCCGTACTTAAACTCCCAAAAAAGTGTCCATTTCTGTTTGCTCTTTTTATCAACGTCGTTAAAACAATTGCGCAATCGCATTACGGGAATTCCAACCCTTTTGCTACTTGAAAGATTACGTCGTTTTTCGAAAGATTTCTTTTTTTTTGAGGATAACAAATTGTTGAGAGGAATTACCTACTACTTTACGGTTACATAACACGTGACAATAAGGTGTTCTCACTCATATATTGGGCGGATCTTTTTTATAGCGGTCCCGTATTTTCCTCGCGATTTATATAAAAGTCGACCCTATACCTGAATGCTTTTTCACAATATTTTGTCAAACTGGCGCACGGAAGTACTTCGGCTTTCGCTCAATCTTTTTCGATATTCCAACCCTTCGCAACCGCTGATAAAACGCCTCGAAAATTTTGCTCTATTAAACTCTCGTTTCAAGGTAATTCCGTGCAATAATCGAATAACCTTTTTAGGGGAGATCGATCCCGGAAAATAAATCGGATTCAATTATATATTAAATTGTTTTATTATTTTACGATTTTACTGCTTTTGTATTTTACTGTTTTAACACGTTATTCTGTTAGTGTTTCAATTTTTTATTATTTTACTATTTTACTGAATATGTAGCTGTCTGTATATACTCTACTTTACTTTATTATTTTATTGTTGTGTTACAACGCCACGATGTAGTAATTCATGAATTTGTAAAATCACATGTTAGTCTGACATTTTAATATAATATATCTGTTAATTCTATTACTGTTCTAATACCCAGCAACATTGTTCTATTGTACAATTACACTATCTTGATAGCAATATCTCTCAGACTTAAACCTGAGAGATCTGAATGTCTCTGAATCTCTCGGAATGTCTCTGAAGACTTCTTGTACCGTTTAATCATTCTCAATAAATATCGCACTTTAAATTTGTATACAACAGTCAGTATGTCCCACAAAAAATACCATCAAATTTCTACATAAAACGTATCATTCTTCCCTGCAATGTTCTCCATCCAAAATCTCGGACCTCGCACACTCAAGGTATAGCTAAATACTCCTAGGGTGAACATCGAAGCAAAGAGATGTCCGTCGAGTAAAAAAAGCGCACACGAGGGAGAGAAGGCTGTTGTACATCGACCGCTTCGCTAATTCACCAGCCACGTATCGAGATTCCGCTTTCCGATGCTGTCGTCGCATCGTTCTTCTCCCTCTTCGCCCGAAAATATCTAGGATCTCCGTCTCTATCCGTGGGACGACAACAGACTGACAGGGTGGAGAGCACGCTCTCGCGAGCGCACCGGTGCTTGAACACGAGCACGTGCGTGTCAACAGCCGCGAACACATATTCCTCTATCGAACACACTAACGCGTTTAAAAGATCGTGCTTGTGTGCGTTCCTAGAGCAGGGCATTCTTCTACTTTTTTATCGTGCACGAGCGGGTCCCGTAAGTTTTTCGCTGTAGGCACGCGCTCAGCACGCTCGGCCCGGGCAGGTGATAGAACGAGAGAGAGCACGCGTGCACGCACTTTTCACCCCCGAAAAAAAACCAACCCCGGGGGTTTAGGACTGAAGGGAGGAGGGCGCGCTTTCCCGAAAACACTGGGAGCTCTGTGCTTTATGCGTTATCGCCGGCCGGAAGTCGCGACCGATGAAAACTCCTCGTTTCGTCGCGCGCGCGATACAACGCGGTGCAGCCTGCGTAAATTGCATTGTTCGAGATTCGTTTTCTGATACCGCCGGCTGAAAGAGACGCCAGTTTCACAAACTGCGTTGCGTGCAATCGTGGACAATCTGAACACAACCTTTTTTCTTCTTTATTCACTAAGATTTTTATGGAAATTGTCCGAGGTACTTCGGGAGATAATTATGAAATAATATTCTCTATTTTTACACCCTGTTTATGTTCGATTTTTATTAAAACGTTATGGATGAAACTTTCTATACTCTGATGCAGTATTTTTTGATTACGAATTTTTTACCCATTTTGGCTACCCTGTATTTCATTTTGAATCATCAGTTTACGTAAATGATCCTCTTATTGTGCATATAAAAGTAGTCATCGCTCGTAGTCATAAAAGTAGTCATCACTTCAAAATTATAAAAATATAACTGAACAATTGATCACTAATAAAAATGTCGTCAACAATGCGTTTAGTTAAATTGAAATTTATGTCCACTACTGTGTTTCACTTTGTACTTCTTTGTCTCCGTACGAAAGAATATTTACCCCCTCAAATAAATAATTATTCGTGTGCGTCCTACCGTCGCGTCAGCGGAACGCAGGGTCGACACGTAATTAGGGGATGCACCCGACTGCTACATATTTGATATTACACCTTATGTCCTCGCGACAGAGTTTGAAAAGAGACAATAGGCAGTGCAATCTTCATCGACCGCCAGTGAATTATTGACCGCCGTGATAAAGTTTCGCGAAACCAGTACAAATGTACGTTCAAAACAGAACACGAAATCTGTGAACTCGACGATTAAATCGTGCGTAATGGAAATACAATTTCCATCGGTAAAATATCTAGAGGAAATATTTTTTAGTTCGTTGGGAAACCTACGATACTTTGAAAAATGGAAGAGGAGAAACCTTTTTTAACAATCTCCTGTTACGTGCAGTGATTGATATTCGAAACTCTGTTTTGAAAGTTTTCAAGCAATTCAAACACGGGTATCGTTTCAAAATCACTTTGAACTTTTGATCTTCGTGACTTTGAAAGATATGGATCGTGAAATTGTATGGGTTTTGCAATTTCGAACGCACATATTTGTTTTTCGTTAACATGGGACAATCATGAGTAGGAAATATGATACACTGGATGTATTTCATGTATCAGGATTTATTTCATATTTATTTCATGCTTTTTATTAAAGAATTACATTAATGAATAACAATTTTGGTACACCTTATATGATTCTGTAACGATGGATGGATATAACATTAACAAAATAAAATGTAACCTTTCATGATATTTAAGGGTTAATAACTTTAGAACTTTCTCCAGTAACATGAGCAATAAGAATCGAAATAAAAAATGCTAAAAGGTTTGTACATTTTAACAATGCAATTGATTTTATGCATCAGATTTGCAAGTCGACGCAGGAAAGTGTTAAAAAATTTGAGAACCCATTATCTTTTTATCCGAAACAAGTTTGATCCAACCCCATCCCAGCATCTGAAACGTTGAAGGGGTACGCATCACTTTATACTTGCGGGATATCGTCAACCTCTTTCCCACCCCTCTATCTTTTCTCTCACAGGTTTCCTCGATTACCCGGCTTCTGTGGCCGTTCTCGTCCATCGCGACAAGAGAGAGAAATATAGTCCTGTTCCCTCCAGTCGCAAAGCATCCCCACTCCTTAAAGATCACGGTCGCAGGTTCACCCTGTCTCGTCGTTTTCCCTTCGATCCATCTTTCTCCTTTCCCAGCACGCGTGCACGTTCCATCCCCTTCGCTCTTGGAGGTTCACCGTATCATCCCTCTCGCGGCACCCTTAACGTCTTCCCGTCGTTCGTCTTCGTCCAACACGCTTGATCCCCTGACGAGGCACGTTTCTGCGACTCGCGCATCTAGGGTTGCGATTCGAGAGGGTAGAGAAACCTGACGAGGGTGGGGATAGAAAGATCGTGGTGGTAGGGACAGCCATAGCGTCATGGTGGGGGGTGTTTGACTACAGTGAGCGCGACTCGATTGTCAGTTAGTATTGGGTTAGGTCAGCCCAAAGCAACGTCGTTGGTCGTCGTCGTTCCTCGTGGTCGAACGACGACGTTCGTTGTTTATAGTAGGGTAGTTACACATTTTTATGTACTTTGTTTCTCCTTTTTTTCTTCTTCCGTTTTGTTTCCTCGGGCTTGGACACGCGCCAGTTCCTCTCGGGACGTCAAGACGCACGCATCGGTCGCAGTTTGTGCTTCGCGCCTGCAAGTGATATACATTTTTTTCCCTCGTGGTTAAAAAACGGAGAACTATTGCACGCGTAAAGACAATACCGTTGCTCTTCATCACGTATGTGCACGCAGTGCCGCATTGTTAGCTCACGCTCCTCCGTCAATTGTTTTCTACTCTCGTTGGAAGTGATCGCATTGTGCTGAGAAGTGGATGGAGTGTCACAGTGAAAACACGCAGCACGGATCGTAGAATGGCACTGTCTTATCTGCAGGAGGCGCAAATTAACGCAGGTACGTAATTATAAAACACAACCAAGTTATACCTATCCCATTTTTTAAAAACACATACCTTTATATTTCTACTCAGAAACGTAACTGGTCTTTTCTTGAGAGAATCAAGCTGCTCCGCTTTCGCATCTCCCGCGTTGTCCACTAATGAGATCCGCGTGTTGCTCCTACGATAAATTTGACAATGAGTTAAATAACAAAATATTGCCATCGACATAGACACCGTGTGTCATTGCCAAAAGTTCCAGAAGGTGGGGATGTATCTATTACCGAGGCAAAAATGTGTCCACTATCGAGTCAGTCCCGCAATTGCGTCGAGTGAATAACGCCGATTTCAGAAATCCGTAGACACTTGATATTCGTCGAACGTCAGAACAAAAGGAAGTCGCGATTTCTAGTTTGTTTTGACGCGTCGCGAAGGTGATCCCGCTTCTTTTTTGCGAAGTCCAGCGACCTAACCACGTTGTTTGTTATTTATCCGTGGCGGACGAGACAAGAGGTTTTTCTGAGTTTCGGGCAGAGGACACGTAGCAACGTTGGCCCGGCGCCAAAGTCTAAAAGCGCTCGCGGCGACACGCTCGTGTTGTGACACATTGTAAACATCGATAAGCCAGGAAGATGTGAAATTGTTCGACGGGGACAGGGCAAACGGGGATAGAAGTCAGTCGTGAAAACGAGCCGAGTGTGTTTCGCGGTTCCAACGCCTGTACAAAAATAGCCACGTTCGCGTACGTACATATACGAGATTGCTTGGAAATACTCGAAACCGTCAAGTGACCCGCGCCCGTGACGTCGCTACACCGCGAACGCGTTTTCTAGGTTATAAACAAACGATATATTTGGCTGCTGCGCGCGCAATTCGCGCGCACGATCGAGTCAGACAATCGAATCGAGGGGATTCGATTTATCGAACCGCTTTAATGAAAACGCCAATTTTAATTGTAAATCGCGGGAATGTTGAGAAGAGATTTATTAGATATTTCTTTCTTTGGTACTTTTGTATTGTTGCATTAATTCGTATAAATTCCCGCCTTTTCTTTTCATCTTTTTATCTGGAGTTCTGTGGAGGAGTTCTCTAAATGAAATGAAGTATTAGTTCAAGAACCAAGACTGAGACATTTTATGTACAAGTTTTGAGAGTCAACTTATCTTATTACTTTTGTAATATATAAGTATCTTATACTTATATAAGTATCAACATATGTGCACTTATTTTTAAATCACAGAAATTCCCGCCATTTTTTCTGCTTTTTATAAAATGATAAAAATAAGTTGTTAACAAGAATTAAAATTGTGTTACAGAGTTTTATAAGACAATTTAGATGTTCACTACTAAAAAGTATGTAGTATAGAATTTATATTGGTATGAATATTGACATAAATATCCAAAATTAATTTTATATTCACCTAGCTTGATATTTAACATTTTCGATACATTACTTTTATTTCTGTCCAGTCAGTAACCCTGATATATGTTCTGTATGTTGAATGATTTGAAAATAATGAAAGTCCGAGTTCCATATAAAGCAAAACAGGTCAATAGATAAAAATAAGTATCTACGAGTATGATACACTGGTTGAAAGTTTTGAATAATTTGTAAAATATAAGATTCGCGTTATCGACGTCGCGTTTCGCCCAGCGAGAGCACCGTGGAAGAAATTTTTATTCGGACCTAAGGAAAAGGAATTCAAAGGGAATATTGGGGTTGCGACCAATTAGGGGAGGGACGCGAGCGGGGGCGGTACTCCTGGTCGTGTTGCCGGGAAACGGCGATTGTAGGCTGTAAGAATCCTAGCCCACGTTAAGGGAGTTTTAGGGTAAAGAAGAGAAAAGAATAGAAGATCTTACGCACCCTTATTGATTCAACGGGTCTCATTACGGCCCCTCTTCTAAACGGTCCATTAATTGGTAAGTGGCGGTCGAGGCCATGTCTGCTTGATTCATTGTTTTCTTAAATTAAAACTTGCTCTCGTCTTCGCATATATCCCTGCTCGAATAGGATAATTGCAATTATCCTGAAACCAATTTGTCTTGGTCGGCGAATAAATAACAAGATTTCAACGAATAATCCTGCTACTTGAATCTGAAATGCACGATCGAATTTTATCTCCTCGTACAAGTCGTTCACCGTGTCCTCTAATTTCCTAAACGAGCCTCTTATTAATTTAATTACGTCCTCGGAGCTTTTTATCCCGTGACGTCAATCGCGCCAATATGCAATCACCGGAAAGTGCAACCCCAACGCGAGGGTTGTTTTTTCGAGAAAGCCTTTGCGCACCCTTTTAAGTTATTTTCGACAACGTTTTCTTCGTCAAAATTACTCTTTTGTACAAAAAAGATCGGTGGTGAGGTACACATTTTTTAAGCAATTCACTTTTTAATAATATTTATTACTTTATATTATATGGGGTTCAACTCTTGAATTACTGGATGTAATTCACTTTTTAATCGATGGATACTGCTTCTCGTGTGCGCCGTGACGTGCATTTTTCAAAGTCATGGTGTTCAAACGTGTCGGTAATTCGAATAGGTCTCGAAATTCCAATATTCTAAAGCTAATCATTTTTACACTCCAAAGGTCTAAAGTTCCCAAAGTGTTCGAGGCTTGAAAAATTTCCAAAGTTTCAGAGCACAAAGGTTCTGAAATATCAAAGTCTGAAGTTCGCGAGTACCAAAACTCCCAAGACAAAAATTACAAGAATTCTAAAATTCCAAAGTCTACATTCTTAAGTACCAGAAGTCCAACTCCCAAATTTCAGAAATTCTAAACTTGGAAAGCTCTTGAGTTCACCCAAATTCCAAATTTCAACCCCTAGTCCTAAATTAAAATAACTCCGAGGCTCGCAAATTGAAAAAATTGCAAAATTGCGAAGTCGCAAATTCGTCGAATGGTCGAATAAGCGTATAAAATTCACTTTCTAAAGGATCGAAAAGCCGCGTGCTCGTGGTGTGCACCATGGCTTGCACTTTCGCAGAGTCGTTGGCCTCAAGTCGAAGAGAGGCGGGTACATCGTGGTGACGTGGGTGGGAAGTCGAGGCTTATGAATGAACCGTTCCGTACGAGAGTGTGAGTGAATGGAGGAGGATCGAGCAAAGCTCACGTGTGAGCAACGTGTGTGGGAGGGCGGACAAGGAGGGACGAAGAGGAGACTAGCGTTCGCCGTTGACACGATCGAGAAAGAAGATGTACGCGGGAGAAAAGATCATCGTACGATTCGTACACTGTACACGTACGATCGCTTCTTCTTGCGTTTCGTACAACCACGTTTGTCGTATCTCTTCTTCGGTCATCTCTGCTCGATGCAATTTCTTGCGAAACACGGTGTTTAGCAAACAGCTACATCACGAAAAACTTCGAATCTCTATCGACAAATTCTTTTTCATTTTCTTACCAATATAGAATTATGCTTCTGTGGTTTTTTACTTTAAAACGTTGACTATCATATTATATGGCAATTGGATTTCCATTAGACGTTGGTTTATTAGAAATCTAAGAATGTTATATTGATTGCAACTAGTTAGGAACGTTCATTACGCAACATTCGAAGTTATGAATAATAGCCACACTGAAAGATATGTTAAAAATAACAGCATGAGTTAATGAAGTGTTCAATACATTCAACGTGACAATCAACTTGAACTGACAGCAACAAGACACACGGACAGCTCTGTCGATTTTCTCGCATAAATAAATCTGTAACTCTTCATCAAAATCGTATTTTAATGTCACGTACTTCAGCGAATGCCACCTGTCTATATTACGTAGAGTATCCGGATAAAGGTTAACATTGCGGCAGTAAGTAGAGGTTAATCTTGGTGTGCATAGACATTTATGTAAATTGATTTTCATCGAGCATTGAATATACTCTACGTCTATAACGTTCACATAGGACGTAGCTAAATATTTAACTAGCCGAAAGCAATATCTTCACCGAGATATGAAAATGTTTTCCTGCAGCAACAATTTACGGTAACGATTTTGTTTGGTTGTACAATGAACCCGTTTCTGTTGCAGGACTCTTGGCCGGCCAGCACCTTGACATGAAGCAAGAAGCCGAGAAGCAGCCGGTCTCACCGCCATTAAACAACAACACGTCGCAAGTAATGTTTCCCGGGATGGGCAGCGCCACGGCGGGCTTGTCTATGCTCACCCCGCAGCAACTGCTAGCAGCTAGCAGAGCTGCGGCCTTGATGGCTGCAGGAATTCCTGTGTCGTTGCACGCAACGTTGGCGGCGAGTCCGTCGCTTTACGGACATCATCAAACTCTGTTCGAGGGTTGGGCACCACCCACAGCATCCTCGCCACCGTCGCCTCTTCATCATTCGCCGGGGCCAGTCTCGCCGGCGTTGAGCACCAAGTCCACTTCGCGACGAGCCAACAACGCTGTGACCAATAACAATAACAATAACGTGGTGAGCAGCAGCGGAGATAGAATCACGAAGAAAGGTCAGACGACCAAGAGGAAGACACAGAAATCGAAGCCGGACAGCGTGCAAGTGTCGGTCGAGGGTGGTACGGATCCACTCAGTCCACCCACTTCGGTCAGCCCCGAAGCGGGCAAAGACGGGAGGGATAAGGTCTTCACCTGTGGAGTGTGCTCGAGATCGTTCGGCTACAAGCACGTGTTACAGAATCACGAACGCACTCACACCGGGGAGAAACCGTTCGAGTGTCCGGAATGTCACAAAAGGTGAGGCTCTCCAGTATAATGATCAGTATTTCAGAAAATCTCATAGTCTTTTATATTCGAGTCAATCGCCTATAGCTCGTACGTTTGAAACAGTGAAAGAATGTTTCCGTTGTATCGTTACAGATTCACACGGGACCACCATCTAAAGACCCACATGCGACTGCATACCGGCGAGAAGCCTTACCACTGCAGCCACTGCGACCGTCAGTTCGTGCAAGTAGCGAATCTTCGTCGCCACTTGCGCGTGCACACGGGCGAGCGTCCGTACGCGTGCGAGTTGTGCGCAGCGAAGTTCAGTGATTCTAATCAGCTGAAGGCTCATCTGTTGATACACAAGGGCGAGAAACCGTTCGAATGCGAGCATTGCCAGATGCGGTTCAGACGGAGGCACCACCTGATGCATCACAAGTGCGGCACCGGCATGAACGCCACTGGGCAAATCCCGAGATCGCAGGTCACGTCTCCGTCGCTGGCGAGCGACTACTTGGACGAGGACATGGACATCGACATCGACGTGGAGATGGACGAGCCGGAAGCTACGCCCCTGATCGCCAGAAAATCGAACAATCCGGTAAGACCGGCCCACCGTCGGCTACCGAGTCCCGTCGTCAGCGCCTCGATGCCGTTGCCGTTGAACCTTTCCGGTATCCCTGTAGATCTACCGGAGCAAACGGAACCGGAAGATCTGTCCATGTCCACGGATAACCACAGGCCACACTCGAACGGCAGCAGTGCCTCGACGATGAGTCGCGGCAACGATCGACATACGATTTCGTAGTATGATCGCCGAGCGAGATCACATCCTACTTCCTGTACGCTTTACGTTTCTTTCTAGTAGGCGCTTCGTGTCGCGTGGAACGACGTGGACACTCTTTGATTTTCAAATGTATAATTTATTCGAGCGACACGAAACGCGCGGTGTTACAAGCTTCGTTCTTATTGTGGGATCCGTGGAAAATAGGGGTCAGGCGCGCACCGGAAATCGTAGATACGATCGCAGCTCGTAGCCGGTTGCCCGCTGTCGTCCTTAGTTCCACGGACCTTCTTACTCGATATGGAGCTCCCGATCCCACTTAATATATATCTATGAACAGTGGAGAACAATAGTGACTGTGAACCGGTGCGATGGATTTATTTATCGGATTTCGTCCGAAACGTACTGGAACAGTTCTCCATCGTATCCCTTTTTTTCCTCGCGCGAAAGTACAAGGTATAGTGTTTGTTATAGCGATTCTGCAGGTGATTTCGGATCGGTGCAACAAGTTCCGGATTTAACCGCTTGTCACACACGCCTGCTTCGCGCCATTTTCTGTTGTTAAGTCACGCTTCACAAGGTACCGTTCATTTCTTGTTATCAAACTTCATGTCAGTTCCTCGAGGGACTTCCCTCCGAACAGTTGTACAGACATTATCGAGATAATGTGCAAGAATAAGAGTCGTGGAAAATAGGAATAGCAAGGTAGCCGGCTACATTAATCCACCTATAACTCGAGTTTTCAATTATTTGTTTTTACGACGTTGCATATCAAGATTCAACAATCCCGTAATCTTCAAACTTAGCATTGTCATGCTATTTTTAAGAAGGTTATGGTTTTGTAAATAGTGTGTGCATCGAGACAGATGCACAAAGTGTCGATGATTTTTAGAAGATCATCTTAGAAAGTCGGTTGTCAGAGTAATAAATGAATTTTCAAATGATTATATCAAAGTACGAGTTTAGAATATAGATCTAGTTTCCGTGATTGAAAGAAGGGTTAAGAAACGACGTCTCTATGTTCGCATTCTGTTTCCAATTTTTGTTCGCACCATACGCCAGCCGGATGATCCAAGATCTCGAAAGCTTGATTTGCATTCGTCCTTCGCAGAAACCAGTACCATATAACGATCTTTGAATAGGAGAGAAACGAGGGCAATTTAGGGCCCCGAGCGTTCAGAATATTTTGCGCAAAATGTAGTCGAAGAAACTTTTCTGTTCTTTCAAACATAACAATTCGATTACCAGAATCATTGTTTTATATAAAATATTCATTCGTAAAAGATAGTTGAAAACTAACTGGATCTATTTAGTTAACGTTTCAACTGCGATAGTGATTTTATTTAAAACAAAGCAACTGAACATGGCAGTGAACGTTAATTTTTGAAGGAATACGTGCTATATGAGCGTCGGATAATTCATAACAATAGAAGATAGGTAAAGGCAGAACCACAGGTGGTGTCATTCTTTTTTCGCTTATTCTAATGTATAATCAGAACCATCTTCAGGTTCTCCGATTTCCGTCTTTTTTCTGACGAACAGCCGGTTCATAGGATCCTACAGATCCTTTTTTCCTAGACCTGCCCGGCGGGCGTCTGTTTCGCGCGAACCAGTTTTCGCAATGATATACCCGCGTGCCGAAAATTCGCAGCCGGTGGTCAACAGTTGACTTTCTCTGTTCTCGGCGCGTCTTTCAATGCTCCTCTGATTTATGTCTGGTCCTGAGCATGCAAATTTCATTCGTGAAGCCGCTTCGAGGCCATCTCGGCTCATTGTTCCATGGGTCAGTCCATGGGACGTCATTCACCTCCCTCTTCCGGGTCCCCATTTGCTATTCCGCACCCTGAACATCCAGTAAAAGGAGCACCTTCGAAATATGACCCAACGTTTCTCGAAATAGCCCAGATTTGCATTGCTCGACTAAATTGTACTCCGGCTCTCTGAATCCTGCAGACAAAAATATTTTAACCCCGTTTTTTTTAAACTGCCATTTTACGCGCACCAGATTTTTTATTCTCCGCTGTAAAATTTACATTTATTCATTCCTCGATATAAATAAGAAAAGAATTTTAACAATTTGTGATTTGAAAAGTAAGACTTGTAAAAACTGTAAGTTCTCATTTTTGAAAAAGTAACATTTTACATATTAGGGTAATAAAATGTTAGAATAAAATTTTTACATTTAAACTCGAAAATTTCATTTAACTTCTCTTACTGACGGTAAGAGAATTGTATCGATGTAAAGTTGGAACGTCGAGCACGATTGTTCGTCTCGAAGTGAAAAGCTGGTTCGAAACAGACCGTCCCGCTGTGTTACACTTTCGCCACATTCTTTCGGAAAGTCCCTCATCCGCAGTTTTCGCTCGTTATTCAAGCTTTCGAGAAGCAATTTTACAGACCCCCGTTTTCCCCCTCCTGACTCACCCTTATATACACGTGTTAGAGTAGATCTCTCGTTGCAACGAAACGTTGCGATTTCTCGTCACGCCTGTTCTCCCTCTGTTTCGGAAAAAAGATGCTCCTTTTTCCACACTTTCTCGACTTTGATATTGACCGGTATGACTGAGGTCAGCGGGCCTCGACCTCGCAGAAAGAGCACTCTGGTGCACAGTGTACATATGTAAGATGAGATTTTTTTTAGGGTAATTTAAATGTTAATCGTATTTAAAGATCGATGTATTCGTTTTGTTCGCAAATTTTTTAAATTTTCTTTCGTCCAATTCTTGTTTTCTCGTGACGGAAATATTGTCAATGCCAGGAACATTACAGCGTCGCGATACATAACGTGTTATCGATTAGATTAGTACATTTGTGCTTCAGGCTGAAGACTATAGTAGACTATTTAAAAACGGTATTTAAAAGTTCCTCATAGTTTGAATTTTGTCCTATTCCTATTTTATTCAAACGGCTAAATGTAGAATATGTCTATTTCACACGCGATGTGAAGTCTGTTGGAACGCTGTTATACTTTGGCGGTTATTCTTTTGTTGTAATTTTGTTTTTGGTAAAGTAAGATATTTCGAACAACACTTCGTGAAGTTCTGAAACATACTTTTGGAAATCTCTTGCAAAACTTATACCTTAAGTTTCGATTAATTTAAACTTCGCCAAAAGAGGACTATAATTTGAGTACCTGTTCAAAGTAGAGATCTCCAAAAATATGCACCAAGCGATATACAGGTCACAATTTTACGAAGTATTGTTTCAAATTGTACAGCGATTGTACAGAGTGTTATCCGTTACGAAATGATTTCACAGTTGAGTTCATAAATGAAACAGTTTCGTAAATACAAAGAATAGCAAGACACCTATGTAGTTGCCATAAACCGTCAAAGTGTTGATCAGTAATCCTCTCGAATCGGTGCCATAGTTGTCCTTTATGTATAATCGTTGAAGTACATATTTATACTCGTCAGAAATTCACACGACAGTTCACTATTTTTCTTTCGCGTGCGTTACACACGCGATGAATTGTACAAATGAACACGGAATTAGTTGGAAAAGTTTTTCATCGTATAAATTCTTTTTATATGGAGAATACGCGTGTATATACGATCGGGATCTCCATAGCCCAACAATTAAGAGGAATCGTGGGATAACGGACTGGCGGTGGCGTAGTGGACAACTGTAGCCGGCTATATAACGCGAGAGTGCAGGGTTTCGGTGCCGGGCCACAGTCCATATTTTTCACAAATTCCTACGTGTATACATATAAGTGTTATATGTTTGTGTCAAATTATAACGTTGTACGAATATGTAAACGGAGCTGGGGAACGGGTGCGGAGAACAACGCCGTTTTACCGTCGAACTTTCATTTTCAACGGTGTACTGATGACTCTCGTTATATTGCAAGTCTTTAGATTTTTAGTCTTGAAAATTAGGTTGTAGGTTGTAGGCTGTGGGTTGTAGGAATTTTAAAGAAGTCAAAATTTCTGTACCCACAGATTTGTAATTTTTTCATTTCCAAAGTGATATCAAATTTCCAAATCTGCAAATTCCTCAAATATAAAAATTAAGTATGAAATTTTATATTTGAAAATTTTTCTTTCTACAGTGGTAAAAGGTAATATAACGAGAGTAGTGATTTTAATTTCGATGTGAGACGGCAGTGTATTCGACTCCGTGAATGTTTCTCCAGTAGCTCGAATCCTCGATTAACGATTATGTACCTATGGTGTATACTCCTCTGTAATGTATGTAACTAGAGCTACGTATAGTTATAATTTTGTACAGTGAAATGCTAATATCGTATGCACGAATTCGTCGATCGTTTAGCACACGTGAAGTGAGTTCTCGCGTGCGCGAAACGCGACCAAAACACGGTACAAATTCAAATTTTATGCCTATAAGCTACACTAAATGTTGGTTAACACTGTTCCGACGATACGGATGGACGATATTCTCGCTACTTCTAAATTAAAGGTACGATGGCCACTTTTGAAGATTTCGAGGCACGCTGGACGCGCGTACCCCGTTCGAAAACGTCGATCACCACCAATGGTTGTTCCTACTCTCGATCGTTGATACATACATAACGTAAATATATAAATGAACACTTGACAACGCGATGGTAAACACAGGTGAAAGAGGGAGGAAACGATCGGAAATATGCAAGTAAAAAGAGTTTGTTGTTCTCCTCGTGCCGTCGTTAATTTTGTGATTTCGATAGAAACGCGTAACAGCGGATCAAAATAGCACTCGATGTATACTATGAAACTGACACTACCTCACCAGACACCTAATATATCTCAACCACAAGACTGATTTTAAATAGTATTCCTAAATAGATAAGGAAATGGAAATAAGAGGGAAAAAAAGAGATGATTAAATAATTATTATAAAGAGATTATTATAAAGAGATATTGCGCGTACAAAATACGAATATAGAATGTTTTTCTAAGTAATTTAATTAATTATAGTACTCTACCTGTAGTTATTATTATTACTATTATTATTATTATTAATTATTATCATCGTCATGATCATGCTACGTCGCTGCCAATGTCGAATTCCTATCTTGGATAAGAAACGAAGAAGAAAAAACCTTTGTATCATACGCTGTTTACTTGTAATTTAAACGACTCCTGAAACCAACCCTTCAGAATCACCTCGCATCCCGATCCTAACATTTCTCGCAATCACACGATTCATTATAATAAATAAATGTTCCTGGTCTGTTGGTGAAGTTTGACTGGTCTGTCAAAATATTTTTATTATTAAAAACTCACTGTTCAATCGTTTTCGTGATTTTATTACTGTCGCACACCCAACCCGATCAGATCAGCGGGTCAATCCTATGCCACCCTCTCGGACACTTTACCTACCGTTCGTTATTTACATTCAAATACATTGCTCCGATTTTTCAAATTATCTCAACAAAACTTTTCGTTTCACTAATGTCCAATGTCCTTACATGGACTCCTTGGTGAAAGTTTTAAAATATTGCAGATATAGTCGCATTTTATATTACTTTTTAATTAGCGAAAAGTGGGATATTGTCTTGGAGATACGTGGGAAGTAACAAATGAATTGTTAATTGATAGCGTTGGAAGAATCTATGAATAGGCTTCCGGTAGGTAAAGTGATAACTCGTGCGTGGGCAATGCAGTATTCGATCATCAATTTATATTTCCTCTAATTGTAGGATGAAGATTTATTTTTGAAGTCACATAAAACAAGTGATGAAAACAAGAAATTCGCACAAGTTTTACCTAATTAAAAACACTGAAATTAATAATAAAAATAAGGAAATATTGTGGAAATAAATAGATGAAATTTGTTAAAAATAAAACTGCTATTTAATGAAACCGACGGCTTGAGCGAGCTAGTTAACGCGTTGAAGGTTCAATGAGTGCCCGGATACCCAGTTGCCTACTCAAGGGTTAAAAATGTAATTGCTTTCAGCGAAACCGTGGGTTTACCCCGCATATTCTATAAAATTTCCTCAGAATGCAATCTTTCAATTTATTTTAATATTTTAAATTGTTGGATAATTCAAAATTTTTAAACTCGAACAAATTACGAAGTGTCATAAATTGCGGGAGTATGAAAGTCGCAGTAAAATTCGGTCACGTGGTCCTTGTTTTCCGCGACAGAAAGAGTTAAGCGGTCAGAGAGAGAAAAATATCGGCATTCCCGACCGCATCAATAAAATCTCCAGTCTATTATCCGAAGGACCGCGAGGACTCGAACAAACTGTCGCTGGGTCACAAAGCGTCAATATTTTCACAACTCATCCGAGGTTGCATCTTGCAACGACGCTCAATATTGCAGTAAACGAAGATAAAAAACACGGCAAGAGTGGAGTCTGTCGAGAGAGACAGGGAGGCGAAAAGGGGTGGATGCTGAAAAACTGCCCGCACACACACACCTCCGTTCCTTTTTCACTCTGTTTCTCTGGTTGAAACGGTGCACTCGCATTCAGCTGCGCCATTCAGTCCATAGAGTTTCCAAAATCTAGGATTCCACGTTACTTGGGTGTGCGTGAGACAAGAGAGGGCTGCTGGCGTTGTTAAATCGTTGAAGAGAGAGGGGTGGGTTAGCCCGTGGCACAGTGACACATTATGCCGTAATGTGGGGGCACGTGGCAGATGCAACAGCAGATCGAGTCCGAATGGATCGTGGAAATCCACGGGTTTTCATTCAAATATTTGCCTGTCACGAACTTTGCTCTCCTCGCGGACGACCTCGATGACTCGACAGACAGGACACGAATCATCATTCACCAGCCTCGATCGGGGAAAGTTTAAATGGTATTTTAATGTAAGCGAATCGATAAGTAACGGCTAGCGTCGATAATGTAGGAAAATTTAACACTTTGCTTTATGCAATCAGTGACTTGCAATCGTGTCTGATAAGCTTCAGATAATACGAACGTTATTGTGCGTTTTATGTCGCATATCAGATTTAAATATTTATGCCAAGTTCAGATAACGGGGCTATAATACGTTTGTTTATTTAGACAATGAGCTATTGTGCTTTTAGGCAGATTAAATATTGGGTTTAAATTTTTGTTTGCATTTGGTAAATAATAAATTAATTTCTCCGATGTCTATAGTCGAACTTGGAATTTAATCGCTGAATTGTACGAGGCAGATTCGAGTTAAATTTTGTCCAAATAATAAAATTCAATAATCCCACAATTTAGTATTTCCTTTCAAAAATGTTACGCAATACTGTAAAAATATCGCAAAATCTGTTCGTGTACGGTCTCCGAACAATTTCGTCGATTTACGTTTTGAAAATAAAAATTCATGTAACAAATTATAAATTGTATACGCGATTGCCTACAGAAATGATATATTTCAATCGCAACACCACTCGAATATTTTACTGAAAGCCGTGTACATCGTTATCTCATCCATACAGAATCGCCGTTAAAAACGCATAAAATCCAGCGGTGTTTTTTTATTTTATTAAATAAATCATCGATTCGAAAAAACATAAAAACGATACGTCGTTACGTTGTGCAGTCGCGTGATTAATGTCGACAGTAATGGAAATCAAATTCGCCGTTGTTGCGTGTAACAGTTTATGCTGCAGCTTGCGTATGTTTACCTATTTTGTACCGGTACTTCAGGTAGCAACGTAGCGGTCCAGAGACCTTCGTCTTTTACGGAGTCTGACCTCGAAAACGGTCCTTCTTCCGAAAGGAATTCGCGTTGAATTTCTTGATGCGTTGGACACAAAAGCCACGGGGGTGTCTGAAAGTTAAAGAGCCGGAGAATAGGAAACAGGGAATTAAATAGAAAATGTAGCATTCTGTAATGTAGATAGATGGTACATTTTTAAGTTAGTGGTAACTTTAAGTTAGTTTCATTTTATTAGCAAAGGAGTTGCTAGCAAAAATTTATCTCTGATCAATTCATCAAATTTTTCTGATTTGCTTAAATCCTTAGTTAACTTCTTGAAGTTTGATGTGGAGTGTAATACTCCTTACACCCATAGAGTTCTAGGGGGAGTCCCAAAGAAAACTCCATATTCGGTATACTATGCCTGGATTTCACGTAATTTTGGGTTTCTCCGGTAAATGGTATCGCGTTTCTTAGGGTGCTGCATCGGATTGGCGCATTGTCAACGGCGGCCCACCTAAGGGCCCAAGGGTGCCAGTCCAGGATCCCTTTCATCCCTCTTTCTTCGTGGCAGCACGCGCTCTGGCTTTGCCGCTATAAAGGAGCACTTTTTTTTTAGCAGAAAGACAAAAAAACAAGGAGGTAGAAACGGAAGAGGGCTCTCCTTGTGCCGTTCTCGTTGCATTTTGGGGACGCGTGGCGTGCACACGACGTCATTATTTCACGTCCGTGGAGCGATGGAAAATTTACGGCGAACTAGTTGCGTTTCCCAAAAAACTTCGTAACCGCTTTCCATTAGGAACTATACGATCCCGACCTTCGAACGCAAATGTCCCCGAAGGATTTCCATTAACGATGTTTCGACATCGGCGACGGAAAGTTACTCGGGCAAAGCACCCTTTCGGCGTTTTACGACTGCGTTTCAGTACTCTGTTTGTGACTTATGTCGGAGACGGTGGCTTGGGGATTATGCTGATACATTCGAGTGATTCCGTAATGAATTAAAATTTTCTTCCATAAAATTTGTTACTGTTGGAAGCGTTACAAGGAATGTTACAAGTGTTGGAGGCTGCTCTATCAATGTGGTACAAATTTGAATCTTATGATCAGACATTTCTAAACACTCAAATGTATCAACTTCCTAAATTTTCACATTCTTTCACATTCTAAATTTTAACGTTCTTGAAATTGTACCAAACTGAAGTTCCAAATCAGGAAGTTTACAAATAAGAAATCAGCGAACGACACTCTCCTACTTGCTCCCGCCATTTTCCCTAGAGTACGACGCACTAAAAATAAGTGTTCAAAGTGCCC